CAGAATAGAGAGGGAAAAGTAGGTTACAGAATAGATTATACACAACAGTCTCAATTCTATTTTAACTTTTAAGATAAATTAGTTTTGTTTTCCATTTTAAGTATAAATGGAATCAAACTATACGTATATGTATATACATTTCTGAGATTTGACTTTCTGAAAGCTCAACAATGTATTATAGAGGTGTTTTCACCTCTTTGTTTATATACTAACAGACCTACTTTTAAAAACAACTGCATAATTTAGAATTCTGTAATGGATACAACACAACATTTAAGAAATCCCCACTGATGGGCATATGGACTGTTTCCCTTTTGGGTAGGGAAACAAGTATAAGCAATTGCTGGGATCATACATCCTTGTGATATTACCTTGGATAAATTCCTAGAAATGAAATTCATAGATTAGAGAGCATTTTAAAATTTTTGATAATATTGCCATGGTACTTTCTATAAATTCACTAAGATACTGCAATAATTCATACGCCCACCAAGGATATATGTCAATTTTCCCACTCTATTTAATAACAGCAGCAAAACAGCAGCATTATGAATCTTTTAGGTCTTTGTCAAATGGAAAGGCTAAAAATAAGCATCTGCAGCTACAGATATAGTTCAGTGAGAGAGTGCATGCCTAACATGCATGAAGCCCTGAGTTCAATCCCTAGCACTGAAAAAAACTTCTGACCCATCAAATAGGTGCACATTTATATTATTTCTGATAAATCTATTATCCTTCATATAGTTGGTCATTTATATTTCTTATTTCGTGGACTGTCTGTTCATGCACCTTTTTTCTTTTCCTAGAAGAAGGTATTCACCTTTTCCTCATTGATTTATAGGTACTCAACACATGATTGATGTTAGTACTTTGTCATATCAGTCCTTTGACATATATATACAAATAGCTTTCCCAGTTTTCATTTATATATTAACTTTGTACATCGTGTACTGCAATGTAGAAATTTTGATGTAGTCAAATCTGCTAATTTTTTCTTTGATGGCTTCTAGATTGTCTTTTACTTAAGATTTCCTATCTCAAAATCACACAAAATTCTTCTTTTCTTCTCATACTTTTAATAGCATTTCATTTCACGATTAGATCTTTATTCCATCTAGAATTTATTTCTGCATGACAGCTGGTAAAAGTCTTAGTATTTTTCTAAACAGCCAATTATCCCAACATATTTCTTGAATAATGCATCCTTTCTTTACACACTGATCATGCCACCTTTATCATGTACTAAATTTCATCTCTATATATACAAAGACATACTCAATATAATTTTTGGACATTTCTTTTTGTTTTCTTGAGCTATTTCATTTTCTACACTATAATGTAGGATAGTGACCAATATATGTTAAATGGACAAAAATGCTGGTTGAATGGATATGACACTCCATCCAAACTTAGGACTTTTGTAAGAATTAAATTTCTAGATTTTGGAATACCCACTCTGTCCTATTATCCTTTTAAGAGGCTTGTCTGATTACCAAGGATTCTTTTAAATTATATTAAACGATACTCATATAATCTTGAATATTCATCACTAGTAGGTATTCTTCAATATACTAAAGTGTGATTTTTACAAGTTGATGTGTGTGATGATTTTCCCAAATTTTTACATCAGTTTTATTTGGAATTAAGCAATTTAAATGTAACATAATATAAAATATGAACATGAAAAGAACTAATGTTTCTAGGAATATTAACTTAAATGTTTTGTAAAGACTCAAAAGTGAATGGTTAAAAATAACTACTGTGAAATTAGAGGTAGGCAAAATAACTGTACAAAGCTGGGAGAACTAAGAAAAAATATAATCTGCAGTTGCATTATGTTCTAAAGTGTTCGTTTGGAGTCTTTGCTGAAGTATTTTTCTCTCTCTTTCCTATTTCTAAATCCTTGCTAAACTTGAAAAAACATAGTGTTCTTTTTAAAAAAATAAATTGAAATAGGAAAACGTAGAAAGTGTATTACAGATATGGTTTATTTTAAGAAAGCTGTTCAATAATTTTCAATAATTTTTCTATTTTTACTTTTGGTAAAGTAAAATTAAATTTAATCCCTTATTTTATATCTACATCAATAATTTAAGAGGTATAGTAATAAGAATACAAAGTACAGAAAGTCTTTCTGGTACCACTACACAATACTTCAAGTGTGAGTTGGTAATGCTAAATGTTGATGATTAAAGGAAGTAGAAAAGGAGGAAAAACTTTCACATTCCAAAGCTCTCTTCATTCTGAACAAATCCTAAAAATAAAACTAGGACGGAGGATGCAGTGGTAGAGGACTTGCCCAATATGTCTGAGGACCTGGATTCAATTCCTAGTACATTTAAAAAATGGACAAAAACTGTTCAAGTCATTAGTAAGCACACAAGAAAATGACAACACAACTATAATAAGCATTTATGGAAGGTGTTTCTTTGTTCCAGATGGTTTCAAACTTCAGTTTGCATATGTGTATTTTTTAACTTCAGAAGCCTCTGTAATCTATCAATTTTTTTGTTTCTTGCATTATGTTAACCTTCTCAACTGAGCAGCTGCCAGCAGGTGCAATTTTCTGTCAATTAAAAATTGAATTTTATACAGCTCAACAGTGGAGCAGTATTTCTCCCTATCAATTCTAATTCAATGCCTTTGAACTTAGTTCTCAAACCTGCATTTATATTGTTAATTATATTTAAACAAATTCATACTATTTATTTGTGATGATCACATAATTAAGAACTGCATTTACCATGCTGAGATGCTAATGTGATTTTGCCAACATAAGAACTGATACCAACTATATGTCTCTGAAAATTAAATGTTGCAGGTGTTGTGTGATATTTACATACTTTCACACTGAGAGTTTACATAAATTCTGAAATGTTGCTATCACATGAAAGAACTTACCTTTGCAATTATTATTGACTGAGCTGGGTAGCAAACAGTTGCTCCTAATGTGGCCAGGCCTACTGGATAAGCAATTTTCTTAAACCTGGAACCTATGAAATTCAAACAAATTATTCAATTCCAAATAGATTCCACCAACCAGAGACTTAATGCTGTATTGTTTTTCTTGCTTCCCTTTAAGCCATCACCCTCTGTTAAATTACTCTTTAGGTAATAATATCAATCAAGATGGTACCTAAATACCCTTAAGTATCTCAATTCAATTAATAACCCTTGGCTGTCATGCCTAATTTAAGAAAAGTATTCTCAATCTAATACTGATAATTATCTACACAAGAGGAATTGATGATTTTCTCCTTTTTTAAAAGCTAGGTACTTTTATTTCCTAAGAAACTTAGAGTTATGATCATATTTTTTCAAATATCTAACAAAGCAAGCTAATACAGAGAATTAATCAACTATTGAGTTTGTGAGTGAAATGGACTGTCTTTTATATATCCTTTCATTAAGTACTCAGGAAGATAAAGGATTCAACTCACCAATCAACTAAAGATTTTAAAATGAACATAACTCCTTCATGTCACTGATTTAGAATACTAAAGTAACAGTATTGCAAGCAACTTGACATAACTAATTCATTTCTGAAAGCATCTTAACTAAGCATCTCAGAGTCATTTTCACATCTTTCTGAATAGTAGCCTTTTCCAAAAAATTCCCAATAAAATCTCACTACAAACTTCAATATATAAAACCTGTTAAACTTTAAGTTGTTCTGATTCACCCAGGTAGAGGACACTCAGAATCTAGCCCCATCTGCATGGCTTTTTCTTCCTTCACACATCACTTATAAACACATCCATGGAACTCTAGAAGGTTCTGCAGAAGAGTTGGAAAATCACTACTTTAAGCTAAAGTCTAATTCCACCAGACTGTTGGTTTAAAATAACATGTATGCTAAATGCTTGTCTGATTGTCCTGGACTGTGTAAATATGACTGATCAAGTAGTTGAAACAATTTAGACAAAACAATAATTGGAGTACATACTTTTATTTTCTCAAACTTAGCTTTTATAACCCCTGATTTAAAAAGGAAACTGCCTATCTGATATATCAAATAAAGACTAAAGTGAAAAATACCTGGCAATATTTGCTGGTAACTTTGCAGTTTAGGGAAAGTTAAAAACAAAAGGCATTTCTCTGCCTGGTTTAACCATTATTAAGATAGCCTTTTATAGTAACATCTGTGACTGAGCTTGGGGAAGGTGGGCAGGCTGTTTCAACTTCTAGTTTAGTTTTCATCTAGATATGGAGTGTTTTATGCAATATGGTAAGAGGGTTGAGGTTAATTTAAACATGTCCTAAGTTGCTCCTTTACTCTAGTCTTGTTTACTATTATTCTAGTATCTATTGTTTAGTTTTTGAATCTACAGCCCTGATGTCTCATGATTATGTTCCCTTGACTCACTAAATTCCCCCTAATTATGCTGCTCTTAAATTTGGTAAGTGGCAATTTTTCCTTAGTGTGCCGTTATAAAGACTGAAAACACATTCATCCTCTCTTTATCTGATGTAAGATGCCAAGAAAATATATTTCATTTAGGTTCAACAGTCTTATTTCAATAATTAGGAAAGTATTCTAAACATAGCCTCTAACTATGTGCTATGTACTAAAAAACCAGTGAGTGATTCCTTTCTTTTGACTGTTATCTGTAGCATAACAGGGTTAAGTGAAACTAGCAGCTTTCAAACTTTTTTTTAACACCATCATTCATTTTAAAGAACAAATTTTACATTATGACCTATGACCTATCACATGTACATACACTTCACTAAAACAAAAGTTTTAGGATATTTACCCATACTAACTACAAAGCACTATGATATTTGCTATTCACTTCTACTTTATCTTTTTTCTATTTTTTTGTTTGTTTTAATTGCAAATTGATTTTAATAAGAAACACTTAGAAACAACCTGAATGTTTATTTCGCTACCAACTAGTAGGTTCAGATCTGCAATGTGAAAAACATTGATTAAATTATTCCAGTTCTGACATTCAGGAACATATTCAAATATCTAAGGCACATTTTCTCTTAGTAAAAGATGATGAGTTTCTAACTGATAAACTAAATAATATGTTTTGGACAATTTTCTTCAAAATTTGGGAATAGTAGGAAGTTGGATTGTGTTTTATGGTACAGTGGGGTGACTATAGTTCACAATAACCTATTATCTAATTATCCATTTTATGAATAACTAGAAGACAGGTGCTCAATGGTTCTAAACATAAGGCGATGAAAGACGGTCAAAACAAAACTCACTATGTGCTTATGAAATAGGATATCTTAATGGTATGCAGAAAAGTATGCTAACATAGCCTGCCCAAGGCTGCTCTCATTTGAAAAACGTGCTGGCAAGGCTGGCCCATGGCTAGCACCTGGGAACTTAACTGGTGAGTAGTCCTGTATAATGGTATAAAACATCCACTAAATGATGAGTGGCTTGTATTCAATTGTTAGTACAAATGTGATTTATGTTGTACTCAACATAAGGAAAACAACCTGCTTTTCTCCTGGAAGTCTAGAACTTTGGTACATAGTGTTGAGTTAACTAGTCCTCAAACCATGGTTATTCCGTCTGTAGTTGTTATCACCCAACCCTTATTGAAAACATCTTACTCACATTGTCACAACTCATTATTGTAGAAATTAAACACATCCTATGTGACTCTACTTGGAAAAGTATTACTGGAATCTTATGCCTTATTTCCTTTAAGTTTTTCCCTATGTGCCTTTTTTCTTTGGTTGATTTAACTTTGTATTCTTTCACCTTACCCATGACTATGAAACTATTCTGAGCCCTGTTAGTCTTTCTAGTTAACAATCAAAGGTGACAGTAGTCTTGGGCAGTCTGGGCCCTCCACACAATTGGTATAGTAAAAAGGAAGGGCAGAGGTGGTAGAGAAATAAGATGCAAAAGGGGGCAAAGAAATCAAGTGTATCAAGTCTAACACCAAATAAGAGTTGTTGACTAATGTCAGTCCCAACTACCTTGGTCAGGATGAGCCCAAAAGTGAATCAGATTTTACCTGAGATATCAGCATGTCTCTCTCAAATCCTTAACATACCCCTAGAGTGGTCATAATTAACAAAAGTTGTTTGACTACGCTACAAAGCCATAGCAATAAAAAACAGCATGATACTGGCACAAAAACAGACAAGGAGATCAGTGGAACAGAATAGAAAATCCAAAGACAAATCCCCACAGCTACAGGGATTTAATTTTTGACAAAAGAGCCCAAAAATACATTGGAGAAAAGATAAGCCTCTTTGACAAATGGTGCTGGGAAAACTGGGCATCTACATGTAGAAGACTGAAACTAGATGCCTGTCTTTCACCTGTACTAATATCAATTCAGGGTGGATCAAAGAGCTCAGTGTGAGACCTAAAACTTTGAAAATACTACAAGATAGAATAGGGAAAACACTGGAACATAGAGACATAGCCAATAACTTCCTAAATAGAACTCTAACAGCTCACCAAATAAGAGATAGGATTGACAAATAGAACTTCATCAAACTAAAACTCCTCTGTACCGGAAAGGAAACAGTCTCAAGACTGGAGAGATAGCCTACAGAATGGGAGAAAATCTTTGCCAGCTATACACCTGACAAGGGTTTAATAACCAGAATTTACAGGGAGCTCAAATAACTAAACTCCCACAGAATCAGCAATCCAGTGAATAAATAGGTAAATGAATTGAACAGACAATTTTCAAAGAAAGAAGTACAAGTGGCCAATAAATACATGAAGAAATGCTTAATACCCTTGGCCATAAAGAAAATGCAAATCACAATGACACTGAGATAACACCTCATTTCAGTAGAATGACTATCATCAAGAAAATAACAATAAATGTTAATGAGGATACAGGGGAAAAGGAACTCCCATACACTGTTGGTCAGAATGCAAATTAGTACAACCACTATGGAAGTCAGTATGGCAGTTCTTCAAAAAACTAAAAAGAGAAGTACCATACAATCCAGTGATGCCACCCCTGGGCATATATCAGAAGGAGTATAAGTTATGATACAATAGAGCCACTTGCACACCCGTATTTATTACACACTATTCACAACAGTCAAGCTTTGGAAATAGCCCACATGCCCTACAACTGATGAGCAGATTAAGAACATGTGGTATATATACACAATAGAGTTTTATTCAGCCATAAAGAAGAATGAAATTATGTTGTTATCAGGTAACTGGATAGAAGTGGAGATTATCATGTTAAGTGAAATAAGCCAGGCTCAGGAAGACAAAAGTCACGTTTTCTCTTATATGTGAAAGATTGGCCCAAAAGATAAATGTATACACAAATACAAACTGTGGGAACTAGGGAGAGGAAGGAGAGGAGAAGAAAATGATAAAGAATGAGTAATATTGGAATGCATTTCATCTATGTAGAAAGATGGCATAATGAAACACACTGAAAGCTGTTGATTAATAGGGGTTGGGGGAGAGAGCAAGGGAGAGAATAGCAGGGATTAATCTAATTAAAGTACAATATATTCATTGGTGAAATACCATGGTGAACAACGAAATACCCTTTGAACAATGAATACACACTTGAAAAATGAAAGACTGGAACAGGTCCTGTTAAGGGGTGAGTATTTGTAGGAGGAGGAGGACAAATATACAGGGTGATGGAGGGGGAATATGGTTGGTATATTATATATACTTGTATGAAAAAGGAGCAATGAAGCCTGCTGAAATTATTTTAAGTAAGTGTAAGGGAGAATGATGGAGGGGATGAATCTAACCAAGTTACATTGTAAACGTATATGGAAATGTGACAATGAAACTCCCTATACAACTAATATATGCTAATAAAAGTTTTTTTTAAAAAAAGAAAGGTAGTTTTACTGGTTAGTGTACATTTTTTATTTTAACATAAAATTTTTAAGAAAATTTTTGGTAATGTGAGACTCTCAACATCTTTAAAAAATAAAATTACCTAGAAGACAGAATGGCATATTACAACTTTAATACAAACATCTATATATTTTAAATATTTTATTTAGAAATAATCATGCAGTTAATTTGTACATTTCTATCAATTTTAATACATGTATAGTCATCTAACTACCACTACAGTCAGGATAGAGAACAGTTATATCATTCCTAAAAAATATGTCATGTTATCCTTTTGTAGTTGCACCCTTTCCTCACTTCTAACCCCTGGGAACTAGTGATCTGTTCTTGATAGTTTTGTCTTTCTGAGAATTTCACCTTAAGGGAATCATACATAGGCTGGCTTCTTTCACTCTGACTCATCAAGATTGTTGCAAGTGTCAATAGCTCATTTCGTTATGTTGCCAAATACTATTCCTTTATATGGATTTTCCACAATTTAGTTTACCCATTTACCTGTTTTTAAAGTATCTGGGTTTTTTTCCAGCTTTTTATGATTATGAACAGTGTTACTATAAACATTTGTGCATAAGTTTATTATTTTTCTAGGGTAAATACACAGGAGTGGGATTGCTAGGTCACATGTAAGTATATGTTTATCTTCATGTGAAACTCTCAAACTATTTTCCAGACTGGCCATATCATTTTTCATTTTTACCAGCAATGTATGAGTTTCGGTTGCTCTCCATCTCTAACCACAGTTGCTATTTTCAGTCTTAGTCTTTATAAATGTAACTATGGTATACTAAAAAATCTAAACATTTTTACACTAACGTATTCTGATATTAATCAATAAGGGCTATGAAAGCAAAATTTATAAGTAATATAAGAGAATATATATTTTAAAAACGTACCTTTTCTTGCTGAAATCACACCCGCCAATCCTGAAACTGTAATCACTCCCAGTTTGGGAAGAAAATCTTGAGGAGGATTCTTCAGATAGACATATGCATCTCAAGAAACCAGTTAAAAATTAATATAAATGACTCACTACAACCTGGCATTCTACAGAGGTATAATGTAGTAAAGGTTGGAGATTACTCTCTTAATGGTAGATAATAAGGTAATAGTGGGTGGTTTAAACACTCTTTAAAAGTGCTACACAAAATGATGCTATGAGCAGCAATCTAAATAGTTTGTTATAGTAATTACTCATTATAAAATTTCCTTTTCATAGTTTATTTAAATTGTTTTCTCAATGATATGGGTGATTATTACTCTCTAATGAAATATGCTTGAAGGTACACCTTAATGTAAATTACTACAACATAAATTTCTGACTGTGTATGCATTTTATTCCTATAATGAACATGCTTTTGACTTTATCTGCTCAAACAGTGGTAGGATCCAGTAAGAAATGAAAAATACTTCATAAAGGAACTTAGCCCTTAGGCAAAGTTTTCTGGTCATTATTGTGCAAACACTTCAAAGCAGCCATTGCTCTTGGTTAAAACCAATGATCAGGATGAGAACTGAGCCTAGACAAAAAAGCAGATAAAGAGTAAACAAAAGTTCAGGTGTCTTGCCTTTTTATATATTTAATTGTTTCTGGTTCCAAAACTACATTTTCTATCATAGTATTTATATGGCAAATATATATTTAAGCATAGTCCTCAAAATTGATGAGGGATAGCCAGATGCGGTAGTTCACACCAGCAATCCCAGCATTCAGGAGACTGAGGCAGGAGGATCACAAGTAGGAGGCCAGGCTGGGCTACATACTGAGACCCTGTCTCAAAAAAAAGATTATGATGAGACATAATGTTAAATTAATTGTTAATACATTAAGTAATGAGAATTCATATACAGGTCATCAGTTTCATGAAGACACTTAAAATTTTAACTTATCTTTCTGTCTCCCATGCATACTTATTTTGACAACTGCTGTAGGCCAAGAATATTAGAAGCAATATCTACGGCCAAACACCCTCAACAAGCTAAAAAGTCATATAATTACTTTTCAACATAAGCTTAAACATTTTGAGGAAAATGTTTTTATCACTTTATCATTTTTCAGCAACTAATAGCTAATTATAACATATTTTAACAGAAAATAACACTTATTTAAACTATCAACAATGGAGATATGTTTTTAATTTATTCTTTATAAATATATAATATGAACTTTGCAGTTAAGACATATGTAGTTTAAATCTGGGCACTGACACTTAGCTATGTGACTTTGGTAACCTACATAACCTTTCCAAACTTTTGTTTCCTCATCTGTAAAATGGAAATACTGTAATTATGATAGCAACACTCACAGAATTATGAGAAAAAATCAATTACATAAATTATGTAAAATGCTTTGCACAATGCCTTAATGTATAATAATTGCAAAATAAATGGTCAATACCTCTGTTTTGTTATTATTATCAATAAATCACAGAGTATCTTCTGAATTTGCAATAGCATAGTAATAGACAACACACCATGCTTATTTTTCTAACATTTAAACAGTGCAACTTAAAAAATATAATAGAACATTTTTAATTATGGATGTTTCATCCACCTACCTTTTCCAAATTGTACTGTTTCCATTATTCCATTTTTCAGAAAGACATAAACACCCTTAGCAAAAAAAGGAGAAAGACATCTGTGCTTTTGAAGTTGTTGATAATTAGATAAAATAGCTTACAACTCTGAAATTATATTAAAAAGCTGACTTAGAATTACACTCAAATCTAAATCCTGTTTATTCACTATGAGGGCACTTGCTTCTCTTCATTTTTTGCCTTTCACTCTACTTAATATAAATGATACTTGTGTACTATTTTCCTCCTTTAAGTGGGTAAAGTAATGCCTATAAAATAATCAGAACACCTCATAGAAAGGTTATTGGAAAAATATGAAAATTTATCATCTCATTATAATGGCCTAGAAAAATGAATGGAATTTAAATAAAGCATGAAAGTGAGGTACATTGCAGCATAGAAGCAGTATCTGATCAATACAGGTGCAACAGCAGACCATAATGATTCTTGGAGAAAAAACAAAAATAGAAAAAAGTTTAAACAGAAGAGCTTTACCTTCTCCCTTTAGTGTGTAATTAGAATGAAAAAAATCCAAATAAGACATTTATCTCAGGGTAGAAATTGTCCTACACAGACTAATATTCATCTTGTTTTTAAATAGGAACATAAATTTTCCATAAATCAAGATTACATTAACCCATTAGAGGGATTAAAGCTTTAACCATTTACCATTTCTAATTAACTTACTTATTGATTGATTGATTGATTGCAGTACTGGGGCTTGAACTCAGGGCCTTCACCTTGAGCTACTACTCCACCAGCCCTATTTTTTGTGAAAGGTTTTTTTTTCAAGATAGGGTCATGTGAACTATTTGCCCGGGCTGGCTTCAAACTGTGATCCTCCTGAGTAGCTAGGATTACAGGCGTGAGCCACCGGTGCCCAGTTCTAACTAATTTATTCTAAGAAATATTGTTATATTTATTGAGCAATAGGTATTATCTCACTTGTATCGAAGAAAAATGACGCCACAAAACAATTTTCTTATCATCATGCTGTATTCTATTGTACATACAAGAAAACACAATCCAAACATATGGTCTTCTCTAAACTAGCTGCTATGATACCTAAAAACAAGAGCAATAGAGATTTCAAAGTAGAAAATAGAAGTGATTATATTAGCTGGCAAAGAAGTTAGTACTACTACGATTTCTTGGTCTAGTAAACTGTCTCAGATAGTTTACTGGTAAACAGAGGTGCAGAGTGTTGTCCTGTTCAACCTGGTTTGAAGTTATACAAACAAGCATAGAGCCTAAGTAAGAGCCACTAAGATTTACTCTTGCAAGACTGTTTTGAGAAAATTTCACCTTTAACATTAAAATACCTATTATCCACTGACTGGGCACTTAACCATTAAGGTAGAAAACCAGTCTTTGGGAAAAATTCCTTAGCTATGATTAGGAATTCATTTTTACCACTGGAGGGCACTGCTACCTAAATTTCAAAACCCTTAAAGAGCAAGCATATGAATTGAATTTGCTTTACATGATTCTGTTTCACACAGAATGTAATTTAAGTCAGGCATAATTTTTAAGGAATAGATAATTTTTTTGAGGGAATTAGAAAGGAAATGTTTATATTGAATATGAAATACATTTTAAAGTGCTCTTCTTCAACCTATTTGTTTCAACATACTAACAGAAGAAAACGTTCTTTCAGTATAAATTGGATGATAGTTATAATAGCAATTTAAAGATCTCTCAGAAACAATTACCTCACTGAAGACACATCTGAGAACACCATGGAAAATTAGGTCTCAGAGGATTTAAGCCTGAATCATTTAGCTATTGGCATACAGCCCAAGGGGCATGATTCAGACCATAATTAGTTAAGATATTTCCCTGAGACATCAAACTGTTAAGATTGTGTAATACAACCAGTACCATTAGAATTGTATGACAAGCACAAATTTTCAAAAATAACACAATGTATTCATCACCTGTTTGAAATATCATCTGGAAAAATAAAAAAATTATTGAGTTGGTATTTCACCTAAGGATATTATTTTTTATAAGCTCATTAGAATTTCTTTTAAAAAGGAATGAATTAGAACAAACAATGCACAAGGATTCACAATCAGCTTATATTTAGAAGAAAGGTGTGTGGTTAGTGTTACAGTGAAGAAAAGCAAGCCATGTTAGAACTGGATCCCCTTCCCCTTGAAGGTGGAGATGAAAACTCTCCACCCGGCCCTAAAGAAAAATAGACATCCACCTTAAGCCATGACCCACCCATAAATCATTATCTCAGGAAGGTCAGAGGGTCATTAACGATCATCCTGTCCAGTGGCCTTCCTGGGACTTCTCCACCCACCTCCTTTATCTACCCCCAGTCTGTAAGTGGCTGTGGACTCCAGCTCTCTTGCTGGAGTATACCTCCACAGGGCCACTTCTCCACAATAAACTCTGTGCTGGCTTATGAGCTGTCTCCCTGCCTATCCATTCCACACAGTTCTTTCATTCTAACATATGGTGCTGAAACCCGGATGGGCATGTAGGTTCTATTCCCAGCTCTCTACTCCACAACTTGGAAAGCAGCAGTGATTCTCAGGTTCACTCTTGGACCCTGAGCAGAGGCAGTAATCTTCCTCCCCCTGCACCACCGCCACCACCATCACCGCCCTGTCCCCAGTGTCTCTCCCCTTTTATTTTGCTGCTCCTCCACACTTTCCTTTCTTTGACAGCTCCGCCAGAGACCATCTCCCCATCGCTGGACTTCCACCCAAAACCCGCCTTTAAATTCTGGTTAATTTTCCCCTCAATCTGGGTTTCTCTCTGTGTCCTACTGTGGACATCTGACTGTGAACCATGGAAGCCCTGGCCAGGCAAGAGACTCCCTCTGTCCAACTGGGTGGATTCACCTATTTTCTGGGGACGCCCAGAAAATATCCAGGTGCACGCATATGTAGGTTATCAGTTGTCGGTGGGGAAGCTCCTGCATTCTCATACACCTGTCCTACCAGGTAGGGCCACTGTGGAGATTGTTCATCACCTCTCATTCTCAGTGCAGGTCCCACGGGAATTATCTCAATTTTCGACCTTAAGTCCTACTGAAATTGTTTTCATTTCAGACCCTTGATCTCAGTCTAGGTCCCATGGGAACTGTCTTGGTTTCAGACCTTGAATACCACTGAAATTGCCTGAATTTTGGACCTTCAGTCCCACTGAAACTGTGTTGATTTAGACCCTTGATCTCAGTCCATGTTCCACAGGAATCGTCTTGGTTTGGACCTTAAGCCCCACTGAAATCGTTTCAATTTTGGACCCCTGGTCCCATTGGAACGATCTCGATTTCAGACCCTCAATTTCTAATCCACAAAAATGGGTCAAAAGTCATCCAAGGCCCTGAAGCACAGTCCATTGGAACATCTCCTCCAAAATCTTTAAACACTGTGGCTCACAAAGACCATTAAACCCAAATGGCTAATTTTCTATTGTAACACAATTTGACCCCAATATAAATTTTTTAAATTATTCATTTATACACATGTGCATACATTATTTGGCTCATTTCTCCCCACTTCCCCCCTCTCCCAC